TGCAAATATTAACTTCATTTTTCCAGCACTCGTATGGTCTTGCTTCTTCAAGCTTCGGCGGAACTCTGTAATTGGTAACCATCCTCTGCTACCATGTAAAGTCCAAATAAACACGATGTTTATTATCTCTGTCGAACTCTTTATTCGTCCACCATTTTGTGTCCCGCGCTCTCACACACTGAACTGCCCGGGCAGAGAACGGAAACTTAAAAACTCCCCTGCTCGTCTGGTGAGAATATAAGTAGGATGTTAACACAAGAGACATTTAGATTAGTTTTAAGCCCATGTCTATATTTGCACACCTTATAAGACCATTGCATTTCATGTATTATACTATTGCATTTTGGCCCTCTCAGGGAAAATGTTTGGGCACCCCTGCTATATAACATCTGTGGCTGGAGCTGAAACATGCAAAGAGAAGTTCCCCCTTCAAACCTGAGACAGTTGCAGTGTACCTGCGAACAGATAAAGAAGTCTTAGAGAGTTACATGAATTGTTGGTTGCAGTGATTGACTCAAAAGGTTGTGCTACAAAAAAAATATGTTACAACACAGACCTTTTTGTCAAGGTTACTTTTGTCTGGTTTTAAAAATAATTCTGGTCAACCAAAATTTAAAACTCATGACTCATTTCGTTTAGTTGATTTTTAGTAACTTTTTAATCTTTATTTATTTTCTAGTTTCAAGTTACTTCAGTAAACTTTGTGGGTTTTATTTTCTAGTTTCAAGCTACTTCAGTAACCTTTGTGGGGMTTTTTTTCTTTCTTTTACTCAAAAATCCAAACAAAGTGTCTGTGTGTAATCTTCCAACAGCACATGTTTCAGCAGTGAGGTTTAAATGGATTAGCAGTATCAGGCTGGTGGGATTAGTTGGGTAATACAGGGGGGAAACTTGGTAAGAAATACTGCAAGTTTGAAAACAAGTAGCCTCTCAGATCAAAACAAAAACTGTGCTTTTTTTTTTTTTATTATTGCTTAACGTGACCAAAATGGCTTCTACCAATTAAATTTTGTATTCTTTAATCTTTTCATCCTGTCTGCTGATCAGCATATTTATTTTCAAACTTTGTTCTCCAGCCCAGATTTAGTTCCTAATACAGCTTCATTGTTATTCAAGTTCAGCTGTTTTTTTTTCTTATATTTATTTTTTGCTTGTGTTTTATTTTGCTTTGGCTTTTTTAAACATTATGTTCCAAGGACAGAGTTTTAACAGACAGGCCAGTGGTTTTCTGTACAGCACACACTGTGCTGAGAGGTTTTTTATTGATCAAAACTAACTAGATCAGAAAACTGATAAAATTGCACCAAACACTGAAGTTAAAACACTGAACAAGACAAAAGCTGTAATGCCAAAGTAATGACTACTCTTAGCTAGTTGGAGTGGCTTTGGACTAAAACCTAGTGTGAAAGTTGTTTGCTTTCACACTAGGTTTTAGTCATTTGTCCAYTGATTTAACTCAGCCATACTTGCCTAAATAGTTGCTGCATTTTCTTAGCTAGATACTCTCCCAACCGTTAAAAAACCAAGATACCAACAAGTAAAATGTTAAATAAAAGCTGAAAAGTCAGTTTGGGACATCAAGTTGTCTGACTTTTTTATTAACTCCAATGAAAAATAAAATATACCAAATATTGTTTTAATTTTGGCTTTTAGAAATTTCCTTTTTAGCTTTTAGAAAACAACACAGGCAATAGTCAGAAAACTATTTTTTTAAGGATAGGAATGAAGCATAAGGACTTAAGCTTATTGCTGAATATAACGTTGCCTCTAAACATGAATAAATTCTACACAGTGAAACTTTAAGGGAATGTTTCTATGAGTGTTGTAAGTGTAGTGGTGTGTGTGTGTGTGTGTGTGTGTGTGTGTGTGTGTGTGTGTGTGTGTGTGTGT